GCTTCAGCCTCTCCACTACAGACACAGTTACTGACTCTTGGAGTGATACCTGGATCTCGTTTCCAATAAACTCAACATAATCCCAGGATGATAAGAGGCACTGTGACCAAATTTTCCAGTTGAATGATATGTATGCTTTTAAATCAACTAAAGAAATGATGGAAGCAGATATGCATGCTATGCACTGCTCTGACAAAAGGGAATCACTGACATAAAAATATCTTTTGAACTCCAAAGTAGTTCACCTTTTCCCCAAAAGTCAAGGGCAAGCAGAAGAAATGTAAAGTCTCCACCACCTCTGTGAACGGCAGAACCTTGTAATCTAACCGTGTCGAGAACAGTAGGATATGCATGATGGTAACAAGCCCAACAACACTTCAGTTTAGCCTAACAGCACTGTAGCAGACTGATGACTGCAGAGCTTAATTACAGCTTCACAGTTTGTTTGTCAGACTTGTCTAAACATAGACAGCACATCATAGCCTTCACGGCCATTTAAGATGATTAACTGTGTGATAATTCTAGGCTTTCAAACTTTGAATTTTTAGGCTCTCTCTGATGACTGGGATTGGTTTAGAGAAAACATGGAGGGAAGACAGGTAAAATTAAAGTATTCCGTTAATAATGTGTGTATGTAATAATATTCGAAAGCAAAACTTCCTCCCAACCCAGATACAGCAAATGCTGAGCTAATACTATTGGCCAAGAGGTGCCTAGACCTTTAGGGAGAGCTAGACACTGCATCATCTGTGACAGATAACTGCCCCTTTCTCACCACGAAGGCTTATGTGGGGATCACTGGGCCATCAGAAGGGCCTCTTCAATGGGAAGTCATTACGGAGGCCTGGAACGAGTTTGCTACCCCAGTTAACCGATTGCTCAGGGAAGCAGTGCAAGGTAGACGCTTGAAAGGGGTCAGGTAAGCAGTGCATAGAGAGGTACGGTGGAAACGGCCAAGAGAAGCCAGCCAGTGGGATGATCTTATAGCAGCTGGAGAAGTAGAGGTGTCCTCTGCACAGAATCAATATGAAAGGGCCAACAGTCTAAACTTACTCTAGTCGTATGGCCTCAGCCGACCCAATGTAGGCTAAACCCCTCGAGTTTGGGGCGGGTAGAAACAGCTTCACTGGCCCTCTCTTCTCCCATCTGAATTCTGTTATGGAATGCTAAGGAGGCACCGGGTGAGGTAATGTCTTCGGAGAGGAAAGAGGCTAAAGACCAGCCTGGGAGGAGTGGAAGATACTGTGCTGGCTATCACTGTCAACAGTATCATTATTCTAGAGCATCATCTCGGAGAAAACGGGACTCTGGTCTGCCTTGGCTGCTTGCAGGGATTGCCAGACACCCTCCAACTTCAGGCATATGTGCACTATATGCTTGAGAACAAGTATTTCAAGGAAAAAAATAAAGGTTAAATACTGTCCATATCTGTCATCATTACTTGTCTTTCTGTCCAACAATCACCTATAATTATTTGATGGTAAGTTTTTATGTCAGTCTCCCAAAAACATCTAGTCTTGGCTTCAAACTCTACTTCTACCATTTTCATGGCTACTTTAGTTAATGTCCATTTATTGGTCTCATATTCTATCTTCACTGATTACTGAGCTCTTGAAAATTGCTATCAGCTGATGACTCCACCCTGCAGTACCATCTCTCTCTTGGACATACCAGGCATGACGCTGAATACCACCAGTTAAGAACATGTTTTCTGGAATGTTCTGCCCAGTTTTATATGAAATTTTTACACAGAATTATCCTGCACAACATACATCTCTGAACAAAAGAACTAGGGGGAGCCTGATTTGCAGTGGTGTCTACAGGGGTAATTAAATGTGGATATGATTCCAGGGAAATCTAGCAATCGGATTCAGTTTTTAGCTCATAAAACTCCCTCAGAAGAATGCTCTTGCAATCCATGCACTAGCTTAAGCCTATTCTCAAATGAGACATGTTCAAGACTGCTGACTGCTATAAATTCATTGTTTTATTCCTCTCTCATTACCACAGACATTGCTGCTATATATTAAGAAAACCTAAAAAATAAAAATAAAAAAATAAAAAAAGTGTGGGAAGTCAGACATCCCTCGGGCTAGAAACACCTTCTACCACTCCTTGGGTAATGGTAAAGTGCCGGATTCAGGCAACAATATTTTAACAGCAAACACAACTGGATTTATGTGAAAGTGTTCTTATATCCTGGGTGCCAAGGCTAGAAGGCTCACTGTAGCTGAACGCTGAACAAAGTAGCTTTGGTGTCCAGCCATACCCTCTGGATTTGTTTTTTGGGTGTATACTTAGGAAAGTATCATCCTTCCTTGCCCTACTTTTAAATCTGTATTTATATCACTAAGAACTTCACTATTGTTTTCAAAATCTAAGTGTTATTTTGTAGGATAACACAATATCAAGCATTTGAACCTATCTCTTGAGCAGGAAACTGTCATGTATCAAATAATCTCTTCAGGAGCAATTTCCACCTTATAATCTTCCAGATCTACAAATATTAATACATGGCACTGACAGCATTTTTATTTTCTGCATATAGGCAATGTGATAAACAACATTAGCACAGTAAAGAAAAAAGGATCTTCGAAAAATCTGCAGCAGCATTTTTGGAGCCTTTTTCCTTGAACTCTCAGGAAGATCTGAAGTTCTAATATTAATCCTCTGTTCACGTAGTGCAAGGCTTAGCATTTCTGTTCTGCAACCAGTTCCTAGGATGATAACCAAGACAGGGACTAGGACATGTCAGAACACTTCAGCTCTGTCCACAGTTCTCTCAAAGGCTTTCTGTGCCCAGCAAACCTGGACAATTCACTTACTAAGTTTAGTTACTTAACCTCCATTTACCTAAGTTCACCCTCGTGGGACTATTCCCCCCACATAAGGGTGTGTACTAAGTTAATGTTTGCCTAGTGCCCATACCCTTTGATGGGAGGTTTTTCAGCGTTGCTAAACATTGTCTCTATTATTGAGTAATAAACAAACAAGCTGTGCCAACAGCCCAAGCCCTATCTCAGCACTATTTTGTATTACAGTGTGAGGAAATCGTTTAATTTTCCTTTCTTTTAAAACGTAGTAGTTTTCTGAATTTCAGGAATCATTCCAAGTAAAGTGCTTTTGATCTAAAGTTATTAGATCAGCTCAGAACAAAACAACTCAAGCACAGGAGAGACTGCGCTCTCAGAGTGGTAAGCGATCGCACAATGTTTTAATACACCCAGTCAGCCAAACCTTCCACTCTAGCTGTAACATAACAAACCAGGACACGGTACCAGCCTTGGAACCTTCCTTAATGGTCTCACATCCTCCAAAAGCCTGTAAAAGATAGACACTCTGGGGCAGCGAGGTGGGCTGCAAGTCGGCACGCACCAAGTATTAGGAAACTACCACCCTGCAAAACAGCAGAACTTACTTGCTTGTGTTCCCAATAACACACTCTTCTCAGCAAGTTGGATCCTGCACCTTTTCTTAATCAGTTCCAGCTTCCAGACAACCTAGAACTCAGTCTCAGGTAGACAAAACCAGCAGCAACCTAACCCCGCAGTAATACATTATCTCAGCACCACAAAGGTACGAAATAAAGCTGAGGGATGTATTTCTTTGGATGCAGACCTGCAAAATAAACTTTCAAACAACGAGCAAAGAGGGCACGTCTTCCATCAAATGGACGGATAAGATCTCTGCCAAAGCTCTTATACAGATATCTTCTCTCTGCCTGGTAATACTAGATTGTTTTACTTTGACCACTTTGCTTTGACCTGAGGGCCAGACTCCACCAGAAATCAAGTAATATGCAAAAATCTTCAAATAAAAACCCTAGCAAATGGGATCCAATCCCATCTCAGTGCGTTATAAAACCACTATACTTCGATTTAGTATTTCCCTAGTTGTGGTTTTGCATATTAAGAACAACCTACGAATTGAGCTTGTGGACTTCTCAGTGTTGTTTTATTTTGCTATGAGGAGAGACAGATTAGGTTTCTCGTTTCTGGTCTTTACCCTGAGCACTAAAACATCAGTAAGATCAGAGCCGAGGGGGATAAGGACACGTCAGCAATCTATCTCACTAATTACCCAACAAAATGATAGGTATGACAAGCAGTTTCATTCAGTTCTTAAATTAACGTATGGCAGCTCCAATACATGGCAAAACACATGACAATATGCTTAAGTTGTTCTGCAAAGGAAGCTTTCTGTCCTCGGCTTCCTATCCTTGAAAAGGAGCAGTAAGCATATACCAGATTTGTTTTTTGCAAAGGTCCCATTAACACACACTATTAAATGCTTGACTTGTTTAAAAATGCACAAGGGGTGCTACCTGCTGAAATGCTGAAGTTGTAACTCATACTGACAAAAGTGAGCTGTTGCATCCTGAAATATCTGCTCTGCACATCGCCCTCTTCAACAAAAGTTAATTCATATTTTCAGTTTGAGAAGCAGATGTATGTGCATATATATGTATGCTTAGTCTAGATATTCCTAAAAAATTGTTAATCTGATTTAAAGTAGGCCGTGACTTTTTTAAAAGTACTTCCACATAACTATGGAACTGGACAAATATAAATCCTACCACAAATAAGTAGTATCAAGTACTAAGCTCTTAAAACCCAGATTTACAACAGAAATGTGGAGACAGGCTCTTCAACAGGGGCAAGGCTTAGTCACATTACAATAGATCAAGACAAAGTATTGTACAGCATGATTTTCTTCCGTCTCAATGGTACATCCAGCTGTCCTGCCACATTTGTTACTAGAAGACTCTCTTCTTTGAGACTGCAGTTGCTGATACTGTTGTCATTAAATCCTTAAAGAAAAAATACAAGCTCCTACTGCTGCCCTCTCCCTATGAGCCAGTAAGTGAATAGAGATGAGCTGACACCTTATTAAGTATAAGCAAAGCTTTTAAGAAGGTCTGCAGAAATAAATAGGAAGTCTACAATACACATATTGGTAGCTTCAATAATAAAGACAAAATTTTGGTGTGAAAAACCTACCTTGGGAGAAGAAGAAAGCTCCTTTGATGCAGGAACAGCTGACATGTTCTCACTCATTCCTGTCTCTGTCTTTGGCAAGAGGTTTGGTGGTTCAGGAGCCTTTCTTTTCATCTTCTTCTCTGGTTCTTGCAGTGGAGCAACTTTAATTAAAGCGGGGCTTGATTTTGGTTCATAAAATGGATTTGATCTAATTAAAAGAAGGGAAACATTTATTTGCTATCTCCTTGAAATTCAAAATGAAAATAATATTTGTTTGGAGGAGCTGATGACTAAAATGCATTTATTACTCCATATAAGAAAAAGTTTTGCTTTTACATGCTTTGAAAAGCTACTTTTCCATATGTTTGATAAGCGAGCTACCATAGTTAAAACCACATTAGGGCTTGTTATAAATGTTACCTATTATTATAATTGATATAAATTATAAACATTTTATAAATTAGTTAAAGCTAACTCTTCAAATATACAAGGCTACCTAAGTAAGAGCGCTCGGATTTACAGGTGTGCTCAGTATCAACAGATTTGAGTGAAGTTGCTGCCTGTGACATAAACAAACGTTGACAATCAGGCCACTTTTACTTGCATACTTAAACACGGCTTTAGAAGCCTCACTCTAAGCCAGTCGAGTCTGAAAATTTTGGCCTCACTAGGTATGCAATTCGTGTCAAGTATATTTTAATCTCTGCAGCAAATAATCATTTCAAAACACCCTTTGGATAAGAGAACAGTGTTAAGAAAACAACAACCTCTCTGTAGGCACCAGTGGTTGTAATCTGTCTTATTTGAAAACGCTTCTTATAACTTAACAGTTTTTAAGAAACACAGTAAACGTCTTATAAAATGGATGCACTCCAAAGGCTTATTATCCTTAACTTGGGCATTCACGTTCCAACTCTACATTTGCTCCCCCTAAATGAATGCTTCCTTAGCTTTTCAAAATTTCATCTGTTAGTTTGATGCCACCAGTTGATACTCACTGTATGTGGCACAACGGCTTCTACTATGCACTTAGACAGAAATTTTTTGTCCCGCTAAGAATACTTGCAGGAACCTTCTTTGTGGCAAAACAATTTTACGAATAAACTTAATTTTCCCCGTTTTCCCAATCTGTCCTGAAAATGGACCGTTACTGACAAAACTATCTGATACGTTAGTACGTCCCTTTCTATTCCACGCTCTCCCTGCAAGATATGTGTTTCATGCATCTGCTGAAGTACCTTTACGCAATGAAGTCACTGCAAACTCCCAAAGACCTGTCTGCATACGCTTCTATAAAGTGTAACTAATCAGAGCAAATAAGCCCAGGACCTTGAATTCAATTCCAGACGGAAACAGTAACGCGTACAACCCGGGGCGAGAGCCTACCTTGCTATACCCATTACAGATTTCCTCTCAGGATAAGAGAGGCAACCTAGTACACGCTGTTTTTAAGAAACTAAGTACAATTTGGGCACAAATGAAAAGATTAGCTATTCTTCCAGGTTCCTTTCACACAATACTAACAATTTTTCTCAGTTTTGCACACTTTAAGTATGAAAATATCACTTTCAGTTTCATGGACTGATCTTAGGGTTTATGTTAATACAGTTTGCCCCTGTCCTCTGTTCACTGAGTAGAAGAAAGCAATTAATATGTCACACTGCAGAAAACAAGGCTACTTCTGAAAGGCAGAGCTTACTGAAGCACGTAAGAGAAAGCCTGACATAAAACCTCCAGACGTTTCCGAGAATCTGCCGCTGCTTATTATAGAGAAAGAGATCTAAATCTAGATACTGAAGTGAAAGGAAAGACTAACACTAAAATAACTCGTCTGCTGACTGAAGGCAACTTTCAGGTGTTCCCACTTTGCTGCCCATCAAATGCAAAGCTCCCAGTGCAATCAGAGCTAAGGGCAATATCCAACTAACGAGCTGAAGGGAAACGGATGGGTGTTTTCCAGGCAAGGCGGTGGAAAAAGGAGGGCATTCAGGCTGGAGCAGACAACTCGTACGGTGCTGTCAGTAGCTCTAATTTAGCTGACAACCTAGCTCAGATGTCTCCAGACTCTGGCAAGTTCAAAGGGAGGTGAAAATAAAGATAAAAGAGATAAAGGGTGAAGAACACCACATGCGATGGGAGAGCACAAAGGGCTCTTTCGTGCTGCACGAAGAGCCAGGAGGCGCAGGACGTCCTGCAGCAGTGACCCGCGCAGCCTGCCCACCCCTGAAGGAGCGGAGCACATTTGCAAGGCGCTAACATGAATTTGTTGTGAGAGAGGTTCAGACCTACGAGAGCATAAAAGTTTCGAGGAGCTGTGTTTTAAATACTTATGCTCCAAAATTCTCTCTGCTGTGGGTGTAACCCTAAACAAGTGTAGCGTACTACGTTTATCAGAAGAAAGCGCTATAAAGGGACAAGGTAGTGGCTTTTTTCCGAAAGGAGATTGTGCTGTCGAGCTAGGCTAAACCTTCACATTTTGATCACAGTCCAGGCAGAACACGTATGTTGTTTTTCACTTTCCCCTTTTCACCTCTTAATTGGTCTTACAAACTTCCTGGAATCCTGAATATTGAAAAAAGATTTTTAAAAAATTCAGTTTGACACAGACAAAAGCTCCCCCCCAGTTCTCACTAGGAGAAGACACTGTAAATCCAAGTTTTGAAGTCAGTGGTGTGAGATACATGTAGCAAAGTTTGGTCTGCAGACTTCCACGCAGCTGTGTGCGGCATAAAACACGGGAAAAGTCTGGTGGAAAAAAGCCTTAGCTGAAAAATATTAACACACTCTTTTCTGAACCTAGCTCACACGCTTTTTGCTTCAATGGTGGTATTTAATTGGATTTACCTAAAGAGATACCAGACTGTCCACTACAAAATTAAAAAACCTGACTAACTACATAGCATTAAGCAGTCGCTGGCAGCGTGGTGGCTTGTGCCTTCTTTTACAACAGTCGACTTCAATAAATGGCAACTAGACGGTCTTTCCAACTAGAAAACATTACTCCAACCCATGCAATGATTAATGAGATAAGAAGCTACAGAGCCAAACAATATCTGAAAGTAAGTTTTATTTTGACCAATTTAAAAATGCTTTGGATGCTCATTGCTGGTTAAATGGAAAAAAAATCATCGCTTTATTGAGGAGTCAAAACAAAGCTGTCAGTGTGCCAGGGTTGAAAGAACAGGCTATATTACCAGAAATACTAAGGTTGAAAGCATTAGATTTAAAGTAGCTGTGAACTGTGCTATGTGCAAGTGATTAAACTCAATTTAGCACAGCAATCTCTTCTTTACAGATAGTTACCTAACATTTTAATTTAACGTTATTAAGTCACCTGACATTTTGATTTTACTGTACAAATTAAAAAAAAAAAAAAAAAGAAGGCAGCAAAAGCAGAATTTTACTGTAACTTTTCAATGCCCAAACTAATAAAAGGAAAATGTGTTCCTTATCTCTCACCCGATATGAGAATTTAGCCAGAGGAAATATGTTCTGAGAGAGCAGTTTTACAGCAGAATATATGTAATGAACATCTAAGTCCATCTCTACCATGCAATGCCTTATTGCACTTATGCTTGTAACATTATGCTTTGCTTATGCATGTTGTGAAATCTCATGTTATCTTCACAACCACTACTGAAATATGTTTCAATTAAGCCAATTACCTAAGGTAAATCCTTCACAGAGGCACAGTGAGGATAAGTATCTTTTCCAAGATTACAAAGAGTTTGTTACAAAACTGGAATCAGAGTTCAGGCCTTGGGGCGCTTTTTGCCAGTTCCAAGGGCACAATCAGAACTAGCCACTTGCCAAAGTGAAAAAAGGCGAGTGCTGGTTTCAAGTGCTGTGTCCATACTCCCAGGACACATCCTCCCATTCCACCCCAAGTAGAAGAAGAGAATGCCAAGCGGTAAATTAGCCAAACTCCAACAAAACCTTTAAGTTGCATGGATAAAATACACTGTATTTCCTGAGATTTGGTACACGTCCTTCAGGAGCCTTCTATTCCTCAGGCCTCCCATCTGTCAGGTTCAAACCACTCCTGGGGAAAGCACTGGCCCAGCAGTAGCCAAAAAGGATGAAAAACCCAAACCAAGTTACAAGAACAAAAATCAAAATATAAGATGTTAGGAGTGAGGTTGAAAAGAATATGGAAGTTTTTTAGCGCTGTGATATGACTCAGTTGTTCAACCATGTCTTGACCGCACTGCTCAGGCCAAGGCAAGTCAACACATCTTAAAATAGATATATAGTAGAAGAAATAAGAGGGTCCAGAGACGTGCGATGAAAATAATTACAGACATGAAGAGATTGCTGCGTGAAGAGAGATTGAAAAAGTTAGCACCGTTTAATTCAGACAAGTGACAAGTAATGGTGAATATGCTAGAGACACATAAAACAACAAATGGTTTATGGTAGATAAATCAGACACTACATTTAATTGTTGTTTTCATAAGCCAACAGAAGGGGCTGGGTAACAAATCTGAAAGGTAACTTACTTGCAATCAATTAAAGGAAACACATTCCATACAATACCTTATTTGCTTGTGGAACACTCTGCCATAAATTGACACTAAAGCCTGGGCTTTAATAGGATTTGGAAAAAGATTAGCCACTTACGTAGATAATATAAGCATCAATATTCACATTAGCTCAGAAACAAAACACCTCTGGACATAAACCCTCGTGATGCAGGGCGCACACAAACTACTAACTGGCACTGCCATTGAAAAATCTTCCCTTTTGTGCTCATTGTATCATACATACCCTTAGGAGAAACTTCCTACTGAAAAGTCTGAAATTATTGCCATAAGGCAAGGAATAATAGTGCTTGTAGGCGTGATATAGTCCTGTATTCCTAAACTGGTGTTGTACTATTACATTTTTTCTTCCAGGAGAGTATAGAGATTGAAAGGTTATCCTTGCCACTCTTCTATCCAACATACTTAACAAATTGTCTCCTTGTCTTTTTCTATGACATGACACTCCTGTAACCTGTGAGGACATTGGGGAGGGGTATCTATTTAGGGGTCAGAATACAAAAAAAAAGATGTCGGATGTAGAAAACTATTTTACAGTGCTGTTTGACATCTTATCCTTCCATCTTCTCGCGGGACGATGCCATCATAAATGAAATCATAGACCACCTTTAAGTAGAATCCATCTACAAGCAGTTTAATTTTTACCCATGTAAAAAGCATAAAACAAGTAAGATGACAAAAATCCAAAGGAGGCTGTTGTAACAAAGAGCTAGTGAAATCTATAGTCCCATGCACAGGAAAAAACAGGCTGCCCTTTAGGACACTGCTGCAAGCTCATCTGGCACAGATTAGTTTGTGTGGAAATGAGAATATAAAACAGACAATTCTTCACTTGCCCATCCATGTAGCTTTTGCTCCTTCTGCTTTTCTCCTCGGTTTTTGCTGTTCTCTATACTCATATCTTTGCAGGTGTAAAGTATACATATAATTTCTCCCTGCAGACTGTGCCGATCAGTGATTGATCAGGGATGCCTGGCTGCGACCATCAACAGCACAATCGCACTGTGGTCTGAATATACAGCAGCCAACGCTGTTTGTTCAGACGGTCCCCTGATGAATGGAGCTGGCACAGAAATCATTCCCTAATGCCCGTTTTTTCCACAGAACAAACATCATCATCAACAAATCCGCGGCCACAGAACTTGAAAAGGAAAAAACCCTGCAGCGTCCTTTATACATTTCTATTAGCATGCATGGGAATTCTTCAACTTCCTAGAACACAGCTATAAACAGAGCAAACACGAAGATGATGATATGACACCCGTATTAATATTAAATATTAAAGCAACGCAAATGTCATGCCATGATAAATCTCATTAAGTACTTTAAAACTAAAAGTTAATTACAGTTGTTGTCTGTAAAATTGCTCCTGTGTAATAACCATAAACTGTCTCATGAGTGGTGTGGTTGCTGACTAATAACCACAAACAAGCAAGTACACCTTCAAACCTCCCAAGCTGCACAGCTATTGCAGAAAGCTCTCACTCCTTGTTGGGCTTCTTTACTATAATACAAGGCAGCCAGAGCTCGTTTACACAAGTTTATGATAAAAGAAACAACTTAAGGAAGTTTCTTAACTGGTGTCATCTTTCCCATAGGGAGACGCAGTTTTACGAGACTCCCAAAAATGTGCTGTACGGACCACACAAAGCTCTTCTTTTATACATACTGCACTCATCTAAAAAGACCTTCTGTTTTCAATAACAGAATTTCTTATTTTATATGGTAAGAAATAATGACAAAAAGACAGGAAGGATCAAGCTCTGTTGCACCTTCCTTTTTAGCTTACATGCAACTGCAGGGCAAGAAGTGTCACAAAGGTACACAGATTTGTTCCCTATCAAGTAATTTGCTATCAAGGAGGCAAAGAAAAGTTTCCTAACTGATCACGTTCAGCTGTACAGCTGAACAGCATGACTTGGAGTTATGGGATTTCCTGCTGCTGAGCTGAAGATCAGTCTGTCCTGAGGAGGTGATTAAGGATCACCATGGCTGAACCTAATACACCTCAAGATTAAGCCAGGGATCCCACTAATGCTTCCAAGATTGCTGAAAGATCAAGAATCATACTTACTCATCTAGCTCTTCCTCTTCAGCTTTGGAGGTATCTGCATAGAGGTATTTGCTCATATCCACTGGTCTGACGTTCTTCCTTTTTGCAGGTTGCGGAGGAGAATCTCTTATGGTTACAAAAGTTTCTGGCTCAGGATCTGGCTCATCAAATGGGTTCAAGTACTCTGGGGCATCATCATCTTTAAAGGGATTGTAACTGTCAGCATAGAAACTTTCTTCTGGCTTTGAAGATGAAGCTATTTCAGTGTCCGGTTCTAGAAAACACAGAAAAAGTTTGAAACCATTTTATCAGATCTTTATGTTTTAAAGGCTTATGAAAAGGTTTGCTTCATAATTCTCAATACATAGAGTCTTGGTCTCAAATGAATTTTCATGCTTTATTTATTTACAGCAATACCTTGTTTATTCAAAAAAAGGCCTTCCAAAAGGAGGTCATTTCATCTGGGGTATATTGAATAGGTTTAATTTTCTCACTTACCAAAGCTCTTTCAATCACATTAGTTATTAGTCCTCATCATATCAATGGAATCACAACAGATGTTTTAAAACATTTTTCCAACCTATTAGCCAATTTGTATCCTAACAAAACGTCCTTAATTATTCATTTGAGCTTTTTATAAAGAAAAAAGATATCCTATATTTTATAATAAAATGACTTTTACTGGATATTAAAGAATGGTGATAGCGAGTAGGTGCTCTTTTCATTTCTTAAAAAGACTGAACTAAAATCAGTTATTAGGTGTGATCAATAATTACATTTCAAAACACACATATTTTCACTGTTAACTGTTCTGGGTAACAATACATAGTTTCCCAGTAAAAATGAATTTAAATTAACCCTAAAGGGACAGATAATCAAATGACTCATCTATTATTTGAGCTGCAGAGCAAAAAGTTATTAGCAACCTGGAGCTCCATGCAGTTCTGCAGAGTAACAGACACTACAGAAAGAACATTACACAAAAGCAAATGGTTACTGGATATCGAACAATACAAATCCTCATACAGCAATATAACATTTTTCACAATGACACTTAGGAAGACTAATCTTACACTTCCTGCAGCAGCAAATGACCAAAAGCGCCGTTTAATATTTCCTCTGAGGTGCATTCAAAATTTATGCAAATAGGAACTTTAGTTAGTGGTATTCAAAGTTAGTTTTCAATAACCACACCCATTTTCTTTTTAATGACAAGTAATTTTCTTTTTTCAGAATTATGGTTACTAGATTGACCAAAACATACCTTTTAGCTGTAAAAAAAAAACAAAAAACAAAAACAAACCCACCATTAAATGTTATTTGTAGCATGGCTCTATAAGAAGAAAAAGATGAAGTTCCAAGAGTGCTTGTCACTAAACAAACATTTGAGATGACAAAAGGTCTAGTCAAACAACCCAGAAATGGAAGGAGCGGCAAAAGAAACAGCACTACAGTCGCTTGATCTTGGACGGATGAGGCGCTTAGTTGCTAAACCTGGTGAACCGACAGAAAACGTAGATATTCCCTGTAAGTAAACTTCCAGTACACCCTGTCTCCAGGGCATTAGCATAGCCGTTAGCATAGCCAAGGTGATCGAAAACCCTGCCACAAGTAGCGTGAGCTACTATCATCTGCAATTTGCACAGGAGCCCCTCACAGTTGAGCATCAATATGGTCCACAGCTGCAAGGAGCAGCGTTACCCATCTATGCCACGGACTAGTCTCCAGTCACAGCCCCAGGGCAAGTTCTCAGAGCAGGGAAGACCTTTGTCCTCCTGCTAACAGCTGAGAGCTACCAGGGACTAGAAAGATTTCCTTTTAGGCAGGACCGTGGATTTCTAGCTTCTTTCGTCTTTTTCTTCTTCACGTTTGAATTGCAAAGACTATGTCAACACGTTCTCTTTTATACTATTTCTAAACGGTCTGTTTCTAAAATGATGGATCATTACTCAACAGTAAGAAAGTCAGAAACAAAAAGGGATTGACTGGAATAAAAAAAATAAAATAATCAAAATCTTCCTTAAACACAACGTGAACACTTGAGAGGTAAATCACTCGTCTGGGATTGAGAGTGAGCTCAACAGGGTGAAACAAAATAAAATTGCTCTTTGCCAAAGAATACTACAGGTTCTAACCAGCAGACGCATTCATGACTACGCACAGTGCTTGTATCTGTGGGATTTCCCTGCAGTGGTTATTCAGAAAATTACAGTAAAAAGGTCCTTTAATTCCAGGTGAGGTTTGCAATTTCTTATTCCTTCAGCAACCCGATGCAACTTAGTATTAAAGAAGCAACATATACAGTACTTACACTTATCTCTTATGTATACTGTAAGTTGTTATATTAAACGTCAATGTCAGAATGCAGTTAACACTGCTTGAAGTCAAAAATTGCAGCCAAAAAGGAGAGTGAAATAAGTGTAAACAAGGCGCTGCACTGAAATGGGAGGAAAGGAAGGTAGAGAGAGATCACAAAAAAGCTTCAGCTGTGTCTTAGCAGATGGGCACATAAACTACTGCAGAATAGCCCAGGGGGTGTATTTACAGTATGTCAGCTGCGGTGTATGTGCTTCCTCCCACCCCATAGTAAATACAACATGCTTATCCCTTAATAAAAGGAGGATACGCTACTGGGCATTTATCCTGGGAGCAAGGGTATACACACAGGTAGTTTCTGCACAGCAGGTGATGCATACTTAGTTCACACCCTCGTTTATACTGTGGTGGTTTGCTCATACGCTTGCACCCTGATAAGAAAGATGTTGTTAAATAATCAAAAACCAGCTTGTATTTAAAGACGGAGAAAGCCACAATAAAATAATATTGAAGATTTACAGTTAAACTGATAAGAGAGAAGAAATGAGCCAAGGCTGAAACTCTTAAAGCCACAAATATAACTGAATTAAGCAAGAAGCCTTTGGCAGTGTTATAGAAGAAACACACCAGAGCAGAACCCAACACTTTAAATGTAATTTTTCATTTATTTTAAGCTAAAACAGAAGAGGTCCTATATTGGAAACGTATATTGGTTTACTTGCACCACAGTAGTCTCCAATGCAGGTGGCCACAACAAGCAGCAGTTTCACCTTGCTTGCCCCAAGATGTCCTCAGTGCAGATACCTACAGCTGAGCTAATTGTCTAGACTCCTTTAGAGTCAAAGGAGAGAAAAAGGCACTTCTAGGACCAGCTCATTTGACCTCTATTAGAGAGCTCCATTCAGCTAAAACATGTCTTCCATTTCTTTCTACCTAGTATAAAGAGGTTCTAGACAATTAGCTTACAGGTATATGTTTATATTGCTGAAGTCTAAAACCAGGCGAGACAAATCCCACCCTTGCTATCTAAAAACACCTGATTTGAAACCTACTGTCATCAGGGATGCTACTCACTTGCTGCCCACATATTTAATGATTTGATGAATTAGGTCACGCAGAAATGCTTTTAAGATTGGCCCTCAAAAGAGGGCTGCATGCAGGAAGCAGAGGTAACCTAATGATGCACAGAAAGATGACTAATGAATTATTCAAATTGTGTTAGTTATCACAGAATCACAGAACGGTTGAGGTTGGAAGGGACCTCTGGAGATCATCTAGTCCAACCTCCCTGCTCAAGCAGGGGCCTCTAGAGCACGTTGCCCAGGATCGCGTCCAGGCCGGTTTTGAGTATCTCAGCGAAGGAGACTCCACTACCTCTCTGGGCAACCTGGTCCAGTGCTCAGTCACCCTCACAGTGAAGAAGTTTTTCCTCACGTTCAGGCGGAACTTCCTGTGGTTCAGTTTATGCCCGTTGCCTCTTGCCTGTCGCTGGGCACCACGGAGAAGAGGCTGGCCCCATTCTCTCGACACCCTCCCTTCAGATACTTGGACACATTGATGAGATCGCCTCTCAGTCTCCTCTTCTCCAAGCTCAACAGGCCCAGCTCTCTCAGCCTTTCTTCAGAGGAGAGATGCTCCAGTCCCCTCATCCTCTTTGTAGCCCTCCGCTGGACTCTCTCCAGGAGTGCCATGTCTCTCTTGGACTGGGGAGCCCAGAACTGGGCACAGTACTCCAGGTGAGGCCTCACCAGGGCTGAGTAGAGGGGCAGGATCACCTCCCTCGACCTGCTGGCAACACTCTGCCTAATGCACCCCAGGATCCCATTGGCCTTCTTATGGGCAACACATTTTAACCAAAACCTCTTCCTATTTTAAAATTAGTTCAATTTTTAAAATATTTTGTTAAGACAGCCTGTAACTGCCAAAATTTGCTTCTGCATCTGAATACAAAAAGATGGATCACTGCACCTACCCGTGAATCTATTGATAAATACACATTATCATATCTAACTAAAACTTGCTGATAATTCACAGAGAGTATTCAAAAAAATATCCAAAAGAGTAACCAATCTGTGCTTTAGGCTTAAAAAGGAGGACTTAGGACTACTAAGAATGTCAGTAATATTTCTGAAATTAAAAACATTCGAGGATGTCTCTTAAAACTACACTGTAAGCCTTTATTTTTAATCTGCTTTTAAGTGTCTCCGGTAAACAGAAAGTTAAATATTTCTTTAAATCTGATAAATTTTAAGGGCTAATGCAAATGGTTTTCGCAATTCTTTCTATTTCAACACTAGGGATCAAATGCTGTAAGCCTAACTAGGACAAAACTCTTCCTCTGGCTCGTTGGCTTAGCAGCTGTTACAGGCCTGGCCTTACCCACAGAGCATTGCAGGCCAGCTCTAAGGGGCCTTTAGCATATTACTAGAGATTTCACTTAATTTTACAGAGAAGCTAAAATTAAAGGAAGGTCTAAAAATATGATTTTTAAGCCACTTTGACAGTTTTACAGACAGGTCCGGGATTTTGCAGGCAGTGGTAAGAACCCACCTAACTGCGCTCCTTGTCCTCTCCTCCTGCTGTCACGGTGGCCATCTGGGATGCCAGTCTGTTTTTTCCCTGCTTCCTTCAAGGCCCCTGCAGAAGGGAGAGGGCCCACTCTCCACGTGGGTGATCCCCAGAACCAGGGAAAGGGGCAGAGCCTGTACTCACTCTCCTGTGCCCAACCAGGGTATCTCCCATAAGGTCCCTGACACCCTTCAGGATTAGCTTTTATGTCAAGTGTTGGTCATCACTTTGTAAGCCTCCCTAAAACAAACTGAATTGCTAGGGCTGTGACTCAACAACACTGCTTTTAAAGCTGCAGCCACTTTTACCTTCTCTGTAGCAAAGATGCTCATATTTGCAAAAGGAGCTAATGAGGTTGGGTATTGCATTTGGGGAGGGCCTAAGCATCCAACAGCTTAAAAAGGGCTGAATTCCTGCTTCAGGTTGGTTTCACACCGAGGACTCAACACTGCTTCCTCGGCTTCCCTCAGATCATTAATCACAACTGAAAGCACAGGAATCTAGTCTCTACCTGAACTAATGTTTTTTTAAATTACAGTTCTTCACACAGATTTAAAAAAAAAATTACATTAGCTACTGATTTGCAATTTGGCACTGCACAGGTCAAACACACGATGATTTTGTATGGTTAAGTAATAAAGCCACAGGGGTAGGAGTGACAAGAGAAGAGGTAGAAGTATTACTACAGCAGAAGCACCATCTGCTCTTGTGCCAAATTTTGGAAACATGACTTGCTCCAACTTCGCTGAGAAAGGCAGCTTGTGATAGTCATCACTCCGACCAGCACAACCTATCTGCACAATCACCCTGCTAGCGCCCAGAAAATCTCCAAAAATCACCCTGCCCTTCAACCCATTTGCCTTCTGTAACATAAACACATTGTGACATAACCCTTAAAACCAACTAAAACCCCACCAAAACATTACATGCACAACTTTCCCCTTGGCAAGAGATGAAAGAACAAGCCACATGTGATAGATATTTAGTTATACCATTTACTGCCCCACTGGCAGACACACAGACACGATGGTGATGTGAGCAGCGTAACAAACAGCACAGAATAAATATGTCCCTTCCCAGGACTTCTAGAAAGCATAATGACTGGCATCGTTATAAACAGTGCCAATTTTCTTTTACTTTTATTAACACTCCTACCAGCAATACAGTTACATTTCCATAAGAAATGTAAAAACAAGGGGCTGAGTAATCTCTTCTCCTTTATATGGCTTCTTGTGCTGTGACTATCCAAGAAGGCTTCTGGTTTTAGATCTATCAATTTGGGACTGCACAGTAGCACGGTTTTCATTTGCCACGTAACACATGCTATGGTGAGCTCAGAAGCCTACGCACAAGATAAAGAAATGCTCCGGTAAAATAAACGCTGCATTAAATGAAAGAAGGAGGCAGTGGCATAAAATAATTACCTCCTGTCTCACATGTGTTGCAGGAAACTTATAATGGTCACCTGCAACTTCAAATTAGCATTCCCTAGCTAATTAAAAAATATCTGGGGCACATCTGAAGCGCTGTCAGCGTTTTGTGGTTTTCTGTTTGTGTTTGTTGTATGAACTGACCACCATATGTAAAATATTTTGCACAAAAAATAACTGATTTTACTGTGCTGTTGTAACGCGCTCAAAAGACAATCAAAAAGACAGTCTTTGTATAGTCAGCTACATACTACCTACTATAAAAGCTCTACAGATATATCATTTGACCAGACTATTTTTGATTTTGCAGATTATTAGATTTCTGATGTCTAGCTGACCTGTGAGATACAGAGAAAATAAGCCTCAATTTGACACGTCGACCAAAAGACAGGTTGAAAGGTTTCTTTTCCACAGCTGAAGATTATCCGAGATCTTCACATGCACATTCACTACACTGTGTGTGATAAATTACACTGAGGACTTTCAAACCCCAGCAGCTGCCAGAGACGGCCTGCTCGCCACCTTTTGCCATGCGCTGCACCCACAGCGGGCACATGAGTGGTGGGAGCTCTCACATCTTTACTTTCTCTCCACCCCAGATTTCCAGGGTTAGGTGATTATGAGATTAGAAAGGTAGAGGGAAAGTAGCTGGGTTGTGAACAGGCACAAGAAATATCTGTCTAGGAAACAAGCCAACAAACATCTACTGGCAAGAAACTCTCCTTTCTCTCCAAGTTGACTGGTGCACTGTGCCTTGCAGCCTCTGATGGCAAAGCAGGTGGGAAAGGAGGCTCCAGGTGCCTGCTCTGCATGTCTTGGGGAAGTTAAGTTACAAATGCTATGGAGATCCTCCAAACTCTGACAGAAAGTCTTAAGTTTTGCCTTGTCCAGATAAAAAGGTAAGGCAAAACACCTTGCACGCATAAAAGACTAACCTCTTCATTTAAGTAGTTCACAAGACAAGTGAAACAGGTAATGTGACTCTTACAGCCTGAACAAAAAAGTCTGCCTTAAATTCTTGAACCTCTGTCATGCTCCCAAGCTCACGGGATGGCCACCAAAAAGGTCACATTCACTGAAGGATGTAAAAGCAAACAAGCGGGCACAGACTCAAAGAGCTTCCTAAAGAGGGATGTCAGCAACAAATAAAAGTTCCACTGAGAACTGGGGTCCTAGAGTAGAAGGAGAGGACATGTGCTAAGCCACAAGGGAATATACCTGTGGCTAAAGGGGAAACAAACAGGGCAGCCTTCTGGGGCAGGGCTGCAGAGTAAGAACAGCTGCAATGTTCTTTAGCTTTAAAACAGAGATTAAAACAAGAAGAAATCTCCCATGAACAGTGAGGTCTAGGTGCACCCCATGCAAACAGATTGGTCTGATTAGCCACAGGTATTCATCTCTGACCAGAGGACCAGAACTGTCTTGATCTAAGCCCTCTTGGCACTGTGTATTTTCTCAACTTCCTGTGAAGGAGGAGGACTGGAAGGCAGGCATACATCAAAAAGGCCACGCAAGGGAGGATGAACATAACCAACACCAAATCTAGGGATGAGATAGCTCTGGAGTGGAAGAGTCAGTACTTCTCAACAGGTGTCTGTGGTGACTAGAGCAATCCCTGGGGAACGACTAATCATAAAGTAAAAGCTTTAAAAATGCCACAACCAGATGTCCCACTCCTGGTCTGATAGCCTTGAAGTGCCTCAGATCTTCCACTGCTCAGGGCTTCAGGAAGACAAACTGCTATGCCATGAATCTGACAGAGGCTCCATCCCTCCCAAATAAAAAATATCTTCTGACACAGTAGGAAGAAGCTAGTGACACCCTGTTTATGGAAATCACTGTAACGTTGTTGTATGTTGACAACTGCATGATGGCAGCAACACGTGGGAAGAATATTGGGTACGCACCCCCAACAACTCAGAGTTATTGCCCACAGCCATGCAGACGGGTCTTCTTTGGGGACCCAACAGTCTAAGCCTTGAGACTGCCCAAGTATGCAGAACAGCCCTGGAGGAATGGAGAAGTGTCCATGACTGTGACGGCAGATGGCAGTAAAGGGTGGAAGCCACCATCAAGGGACCAGAACCGACTGCAAAACTGTGACCCATACACATACTAGGAGTCTTTTGGGAACATAAGCAGGCTGAAGCTTGACATGAAGCATGAAGTTACTCCAGCACTAATAAAGAACCATTTTACAGCTCCCTAGGCCCGAGACGAGAGAGGAGCTATGGTGCCCATATTATATTTTGTGGTCAGAAGAGCTGCTGCTTTCTACCAGAGCAGGTTCTCTCTGGAAAGGAAAGAAAAGCTGTGTTTGGAAGTCAGCAGTTTAAGTAGAAGGTGACTTGGAGAGCTCTCTCCAGGACCTGCTCTTTCTGCAAGGGAGGCAAATGGACTATGGGCTGAGTATCCAAGAGCAAGTGTTGCACGGAGGACTGGGTGGGTGAATAGGTGTTTTATTTCCCTGCTAACTCTGCTTCCTTCTCTGCTTCATTCTCTCTCTAAGGGAATTTATAGCTGAGGAAGAGACAGGAAAGGAAACCAAAGATCTGGACACCAAAACATAAAACCTAAACATTGGTATCTACAAAGCTGAAACAACTCACTTCCACAGCTCTAGAAAAACCTGGCAACCTTTGTAAGGGGGAGCAGGGCCTGGGACAGAAAACTTCTATGGCTTCAGTGGCCAAATAGAGAAGATTAATATCCCTGTTTGAGCAATATAGGCTGTGGGACTGCACAAGAGCCCAAGCATTACAACATTTAGATCACCATCCACATTGACCTCTGTTGACTCAGAAGGCAGAAAAGCCATGTTGTAAGTAAATATTCAGCTTGTTCAGAGAGAGAGTAACCTGAAGAGAAAACTACAGATCAGAAATGAGATATGCCATGGCTGTACTCTAGGCTGTTCCTGCCTGTGCGGTTCTTTTCTCCTGCCTTTACAGAGTGATTGTGGGGTTTGGTCAAAGGTGGCAAACACTCCTTGATATTTTCTGTTGGGAGAACAGTCGCGGAGCTTTGAACAGGAAAGGCTGAGTACAGCTTCCTAACTAGAGGATTAACTATGGACTGGCACTGTGAGCAGCTGCAAACTCACAACGTCATGCTTCTTTTTTTTATGGCAGCCAATGGAAGTCTGCATATCTGGACTTGGAGCTGAGGACAGCAGAGATCTCTCTCCTGGTTGTCTTACGGCTGAAGTCTCATCAGGTGGAACAGTTAGACGGGTTGCATTTCTCACCCAAACAGAATAAGAACAGACATGGCCATCTGAAAAGGGGATTAAGACCTACCATGTGGTGCAAAGCCTGATGCCAGAAGGCTTAAGTGAGGAAGCCATAAAAGTGAAAAAGGAAGAATAAAAGAGATACAATTAAATAATAATAATGGAGATTAGTGCTAACCTAAACCATGAATAGTTGTGATGCAGCAAAAACTGCAGCGAAGGAAGGAAGTTTTGACCTAAATCAGCACTCACACGGAACAGAGGTGCTTGGTTAGCATTGCCCATTTACGCCACATGTGCAGTGTATGAGGTCTGCAGTACTAACACTCCTGTTAGGTATAAAAGTCTCTAGCTCAAATGGTAGCAGGTAGCCCCTAGAGCAAATACACATAAGGATGTGACCCAAAGAATAAACTCATTTTCCAGTGCCAACTGTGACTGCTGATACTGCTACCTCAGTACTGCATGCAATAATTTCTGCTAATCAAAATAATATTTTTGATTTGTAGCCCTGCACAATTTTTTCATGCTTCATTAAGCATTTGAAATTAATAATCAATTACATTAAGCAAATCCATTACCTTCTACATCAGGGTCTCCAAATGGATTTAATCCCGCTGTGTCAGGATGATCAAAAGGATTTGTACTGGAGTTGGCCAGCTCTTGCTCCTCTTCATCCAGAAAATTAAGTTTATTGATAAGTTCTAGAAACAAGTTGGAATATTGTTTCAGTACAGATACAAACTGTTCACCTAACACATTTCAAGCTTAAAAAATAGCCCCTCATACCAATAGCCCCCCAAAACTGCAGCAGGGTATGACACCAACTGTACAACTAACTAATGCATTTAGTAGCACACCAACATTTCCAAATAGGAGGAAAAAAAAAAGTGGAATGAATGAAACTTCTACTTCCTGATCGGATGTTATGTAATAGAAAAGACTACCAAGAAAGCCTTCTAGAGCTATCTTTCTTAAATAAATATTGCAGAGCATCTAAAAAGCTAAGTACAAACATTTATTCTCAATTGTTCACATACACCTTCACCAACAACAGGAATTTTTAATTTTTCGATGTAACATGCATGTAAAATCAACGAAGGGACGTTTTGTCAAGCATTACTGACTGCACAACTAATGTTTTAGGGCTGGGTTTTTTATTTTTTGTCATTCTTTTTCTTTCTTGTTCATTATCAGGTGACAATGCAGCTGTAGAGGAGATAGTCCCTTTCGCTATCATGTTGTTACCTGTTGGATGCACTACAAATTACTGAGAGTCACGCTGGGTGGAAGCACAGAGATAAAGCTGACAGCTGAATACGAGCAGGAGTCAAAAGGTAACAGGTCACAGTAAATACAGACAATCAGAAACAGAAAGAAAGGAGGAAAGCTCATAGACCTTCAGAGGAACTGGCTGATTTAGCTGAAGGCATATTTGCTTGCTTTACGCAGTCATCTTGATCTTCATCTAAGCTGCTCAGAGCATTCAACTGGTTTACAATTTCTGTAAATAGAAGCCAGTCAAGACAAACGTAAGGTAAGGGCAAGAGAAGACATTTGCTGTTAATTAAAAAAACACATTTGGAAAGAGTCCTTACTCCACTCTGTATAAGTACACTAAAGCATCTGTGTAGAATTCTTCAAGGAATAATTTGACAATAAACCCAGTTAACGCACATAAAAAAACCTTGCTGGGTTCCTGGTGACAGCAGCAGTAATTAGTTTTATGAAGGTAAGTATAAACACTGGTTCAAAACTTAGATATAATAGATATAATTTAATTAAAAGAGTTTTCCCGAACCATGAAGAAAATCTGAATTTTAAACCACTGTTAATCAAAACAAAAGTAGCCTCAGAACAACTTATATCCCTCCCATACCCTTAAGGCTACAGAAAACTAATACATATACCTATATATATTTTATACATATATATGCACACATACGCACATTTTGATTACTTAACCTTCAGGATCAGTTTCCGTTCAATTCTGTCCTGTGACAAGCTGAATTTGTATAATGGTTCTAAATGACATGACCACTAATGTACTCTGAGCATGCACATGGAAAACATACCGGCTCAAGTTGCTACTGTAATTTTAAGGCAGTAACACCTCTGTTTGCCAGGATCCTATTTCGCCTTCTGTCCATAAGGGAGAGTTACAAATTGCCATGAATTAATAATTTCTAAAATATATTAAGCCTAATGCTCAATTCTAATTAAGATGAGGGTACCTCCATAACTCTGGAAGAAAAGAAAGAAAGATCAGCTAGGTCTTAGTCACCTCCGCCCCAAGGGGAGAAATTCCTCTCTGATTCCCCTTAAAGTACTCTTACCCACAGTATCTGACAAATACAATTTCTGAAATAATGGGGACTGAGCCTGAGGCAGTCCCGAGAGACCTCAGGCAGCGGTGTGTTGGTGAACAAGGGACAGAGCTGCCTGTCCTTGCAGCTGACAAACCGCGAGGAGAAACCTTTGGCAAGAGAAAGGCTCCTTTCGGCTGCATATCTATGCCCCCATCAGGCATCTTCATCTCTCGGCTTTTTCCAAAGAAATAAACGGATGATGCCTTCTGGTGTCACTAGTGAAGTTAAAGCCATTTAGATGCCTTCACTGTATGTTTTCATAGCAATCACGCTTGATTTCCTTTAATTTCTTGTGTACGCGGTAGATTACACTTGCAATGTTTTTAGCTAGTTACTAAAACTAGCTAAAGCTGTTTTGTACTTAACTTTTTCTCATACAGATTTTGTTCGGTAAAGCCAATGTTTGTCACTGAACCTCAAACAGTAATCTTAATACTATGAACTAATTACAAGGAGCAAGATATCAGCTGAAAACTGAGTAGCGTCATGACTGTACCAATCTGTGCTGGTGCCCGTTGCTGCCCTGAACTTCCCAACACTCATCCTTTTGCTCAGGACAACACCTTCCTGGCTGACACCCCGTAACTCCCTGCCTTTGCAGACAGCGTGCAGAAGTTGAAGCCAAAGACCAAGTCCAGTGCCAGAACGTAGTTCAGGCTTGCAGTTAAATTATTCTTTCCCAAATTCGAACTGTTTTGCAAAGATACACCAATCTGCAAAATTCCAAGTCAAATGATGGCACACGGTCTACTCTGAAGATGGCACAGCCATAGCAGAATTCCTCTTCCCCCCCTTTCCCTTAAGCATTCTTGATGCTAAAGCAACATCTACTCAGTTGTGATTAAATTTTTATCTGTCTACAGAAAGTTAATTTCACTGCCCTCACTTCCTTATTTTTAGCTCCAACAAACAAGACTCTTGTCCTAAAAATTAATACCAACCCCCTGCCAAAAACTCTTAGCTTATTCAGTATAAAATCATATATAAACCTTAAGAGATCTGAAAAATATAATACTGTCTTTTGAGAGTTTTTAAGACTCAAGATACGCAATGGCAAATACCTTGCTGTACTCAAATAAAACAGAGTTAACCTTATAAAATAGTAGTACAAACAAATTACTAGTTAAAAACAAGGTGAGATGCTGACAAGATTTACAATATATTATTCCAGTATGTAAAAAAAAAAAAAAAAAAAAAACAATTACATTTCAGTCTTTATTGTCAGAAAATAACAAATTAAACTCAGAGCTTTAAAAAGAGGGGTTCTTTGATGTGGTCTGAATCACCCAGTCCCATCTGCCAACCTAAACACCCATATGCACTACAATGTTTCTCATTTCAATATTAAACGGTTTATGTCATATTTTGGAGTGTGGAAATGGTAGGTTGGAGATTTAAGCCCTATATTATCTTTTATATATCTCATTACCTACAAACGTATATTAGCTTGTTCTACAAGTATGTTGTATAAATCAGTTGGGTTTTTTTCTCCTTTCTTCTCTTTCTCTCTTTTTTAAGCAGCTTGGTGCTACTGAAAAAAAAAAGAGCAAGGGTATCATAAGTTTGCATGAGGGATATGTTTTTTCAAATGGCAAAAAAGAGCTGGCTCTGCCTGGAATCCAGGCGCCTGCAGTCAGCAGCACATGGGCACACAGCTGAGTCCCCGTGACGCCCCAGGGGAGTGGAGGCCCACTGCTCACTTCAGCACAAGCCTCTAGGTGCCAGTTAAAACATTAAGAGAAGCACCATATGTATTACTATCCTGAATTTGTGAATTATGAGCCAAATTTCCTCAAGGATGTTGGAACGTCTTGCCTTCAACTGAAAACTAAGTACAGGACAATTCTGGGAGGTTAAAACCCATCTGTTTTAATGACATGGAAGCCAAAAATTTGAAACATCATATATTCGTGTTCATGCAGAATAGAACAGTTAGAGGGAGATGGAGCTTTTACATTGGAAAAATGTAAACAAGAAATATTGGGGAGGAAGGGAAAAGAGTCAGAGACAGAGGGAAAAAGATGTTTTTAAATGAAAATGGTGTTTTGACTAGAACACCTCTTTCAGTCTCGTTTTAAGGTCAGTTTTATGGCAACAGCTCCCACGTTGACTACTCCAGTATCCACAGCGCTTCTGAAGTAGGTGAGTATTGCTTCACTTACTTCACAGAGCTGAAGAAAGAGAGGCACAGATCCTTACCCCAAGTTAGGCAACACATCAGGGAAGAGTGTGGAGGGCAAAGCAGGGTTTCCTAACTCACCTGCACCACCTAGAGCTCTAGTCAGCAGGTCTCTCCTGTTGTCCTACTGGTAGATATATTTATTCATCTATCAAACTACAACGCTTTAGGCCCAAATAAAAAAAAAAAAGTATTAATTTTTGCACACTGCAAAAGGAGCAGTGTCTGCAATAAACGCTCACAGCACCTTCTGTAGCCATGGCTCCAGAAGGGAAACGTTTCAGTCGTCAAGTCACCCAACAGAAGCAGATTCCGTGATGAGACCTTGAGCCAAAAGTAAGGTGACAATCCTTACCGCTTTACCACTTGTACTTTACTTTTTCAAAGCTCGCTTACAAACATTAACTGAGTAATCCTCCCATCATTCCTGTGAAGTACTTATAGCCAGTATCCCCATTTTACAGTTGGGAAAGCAGGCGCACAGAGGTAAGTGGTTTGCCCCAGGGCCCTCTGAGTCAGTGAGAGCATTCCAGCCTGCCTGTCTGCCACCACCCTCGCAAGGTAGCAGATGAGAAAATGTTGGGAGCAGCAAGCTTTCAAAAGGCGTTATGTAACTTCCTCAATTAACTTTATGGGATTCTGTGAGCACAATTATTTTTTTTTTTTAAAGAAATTTAAAAAAACAATACCTCACCGCATCAGTTTTGTTCACTTCCCTCCTGTCTATATTTCTCCCTATTTGCTTCTGCCTCTTTCTATCAGAGACAGTGTTCCCCCCTCTCCTCGGTTCTGCACTTTTTTTCCTTGTGTTTTATTAGTTTTCATCATCCATTATATTCATTATAGGAGTCACTCCAACTGCCAATGAAATCAAGAGACGTCATTACATTTGCTTGAACGGATGTTGAAACAGATCCTTTATGTTTTACTTATTCACGTTTACCTACTGCCCTTGTTTTATGCTCTCCCATTTGCTTGGGAAACTACATGCGCTCATTCTCAAGTCACCATCCCTCCCATGCCACTTGTTGTCTAACTCGTGAAGAGTTAGTGAGGCCAATGAAGTAACTTAGTTGTTGCAGCCAACAGAAGAAAAAAAAATCTCTGAGGCCGACCTTTCCCCCGCAGGTTCCCTTAATGAAAGAGAAGGAGGGGGACAAGAGAGGAGGGGGACAAGAGAGGAGGGGGACAAGAGAGGAGGGGGACAAGAGAGGAGGGGGACAAGAGAGGAGGGGGACAAGAGAGGAGGGGGACAAGAGAGGAGGGGGACAAGAGAGGAGGGGGACAAGAGAGGAGGGGGACAAGAGAGGAGGGGGACAAGAGAGGAGGGGGACAAGAGAGGAGGGGGACAAGAGAGGAGGGGGACAAGAGAGGAGGGGGACAAGAGAGGAGGGGGACAAGAGAGGAGGGGGACAAGAGAGGAGGGGGACAAGAGAGGAGGGGGACAAGAGAGGAGGGGGACAAGAGAGGAGGGGGACAAGAGAGGGAAAAGGGGAACCAAACCTATCTTGTATCATTAGAAAATAGTATCAAAACAAGCTGAACAATGAGTAGATACCGTAATTCAAAAGTATTTACTGCTTCTGTCTTTCAAGTGATTATTGCAATGTCTGTTTAGAACAGATCATTTTGGCTTTTATAACAGTTGGAACGCCTGTAAAATCAAGCTAGGACCTCGGGTTGCACTCAGTGCGACACACGTAGCACGTGCGCGTATGAGGAGAGAAGAGCCTCTGAGCTCTTCTGGCCCATGTCGGACAGCTCACCATCCCCCATCTACCTCCAGGGATGTCCACTGCTTCGACAAAGGACAGAGGACAGAAAAGATGAATCTATAACAGCTTTCTGCTTGGTTAGGAATCTGTGTCGGCTTGTTCAGCTGCTGAACGCTGGAAAAGCAATAAAATTGAGGCGCAAGATCCACTGGTTTTTCTCTACTGTCCTACCACGTATGGGTTTTCTGTAGCAGTCCTCAAAGTGGTATCTAGGAATATCTTAATAAAATACATCTGCACAATAGTTTATCGAGACTTTATGAAGTCTCTCCTTTACGTGCCCTTCTCTGCTCGGGGATTATAGGATGCCCTAGGCAAATATATTAGCTTTTGATTGCTGTTTTGAATATGCACCTGAATTCTTCTGGTTACTCCAGGAGAACAGAGAAAGAGCTTGCAGAATGACTAATATCAGGGTGACCAGCCTGGTATTTTTCCACTCCTTCACCAAGAATATGTTACTTCTGTCTCTCAAATGTTTTATTCTGGACTTTCCAATCTGCACTGTCCCAGAGACATACAGTTTAAGTGGAGATTTGGTCAGAGGATAAAACATTTGCTTGAAAATGGAAAGCATGGAGGAAACCAATATATTGGCACCACTTCACAGCACTAAATACAACTAAGTAATAACTGTTTCAGGCTGGACCCTTAAGCGGCAATGAAAGCTGGAAAAGAAGCGACGCAAGCAATGTTTCAAATAACCGAACCAATGTTCCTCAGGACCTTCATGAATAGATTTGATAGGTCATTTCTTTGCTTGGGATGCTTCTGCCCACCTTAGCGAAATGTCCCATTATTTAGATAGCCATTTTTAAAGATCCGTGGCAGGCAGGAAGTACAGCACTAAAAAGACTATTTGTCTTTCCTGATTCTTCTCTTACACTAAGAATTCCTACAGAATTTATTTCAAACAGTAGTAAATAATGATCTCTAGGAACAACTTAACATCTTCACTTATTGATCTAACTTACACTGATTAGTTCAGTTATCCTGAACATACTAAGCTTTTTTGTCAGCAAACAATTCAAATGCGGTTATTTTATCTCACTTGACACAACCTACCAAATTCACTTAAAGTCCTCTAACGGTCTTGTGATTTTATTTCAATGAGACAGCCCCCAACCAAAAGGAAGGAGGATGTTGCCTGAAATTCCCATGTCACTGAGTAGAACCTCAGCACCCACGGATGGCAACACTGATTTCTCAGTTATTCTCCCAAATGCCCATTAATCTTTCGCTTAACTCACCTCTTGCTTTCTTGCTCATCGACTCTGTCTTTTTACTCCTCTGCTCACACTGGCTCCTTCCTTCCCTAGAAGGCTACCTGCCTAATGGATTCCCTCCTGAAAACAGGATCCCAAAAAAATCAATCCTCTTAACTTCATGGAAATTAAACTTTGCTGAGTTAGGGGTTCCTCTTCCATCAAATTATTCTTTTTTTTTTTTAATTGCATAGCACAAAAATAGCATAAGGATAAAATCCATTGAATATGGCTGGTAATTAGCAAAGGTAACTACCATCTCCCCCATGGCAAAACCAACCTGTAATTTTTGCAGCCTTTTCCTCTTGATTCACTCTGTTTTCTTCATCTTCTTCATTGTCTTCCTCAAAATCATCTAGATTTCCAATATCAGCTTGTTTCATACTCATTAAACTAGCCAGGCTTTGCATGTCTTCATCCCTAAATAACAAATTTCAAATCAGGCATTAAAAATCCATCTGTTAATACCATGTCTGATACTACTGCATTTTTAAAAATCTTTTAAGTATTTTTATGCTTTCTTTTCTTCATAGAGGTCTCTGATCTTGGATCTGATCTTGAAAGTGGTGAAAGAACAAAATAAAAACACTCATGTATATTAATTTCTGAATGGTATGCTTTCTATCACAAAAACCTAAAAGGTAAAAATAGTGCTGCTTTGCATTAAAACGTTGCGTTTCAATGATCTCTTTCAATTCTTCTGTGACTGTATCTTTCATATATATGTAACTGTCATATGACTGCTATCTTTCATATCAAACATAAGCTTGCTGAAAACATGGCTCCAGGTAAGAGTCAAACGCCACATGTAATAACTGCATAGCTAGGAAGGCTCCCTAATGCTCTGGAGGCAAAGAGCAGGCAGTAATGAGCACTCAGATTTTGCATGTCACTTCTTCATGTAAAGTTTAGAAATGAAAAGATCTCAGAAGTACTGTTTCTTTTTAATGTCTTCTTTGTGTTGTAATCTTTCTTTGTGAATTTCTAAAACAGAGAAATAAGATGATTTTTGGTACTGCAAGGCAACAGGCTGCAGTGAAGACAAAAAAAAAATTAAAAATGAGTCTCACTTTATAAAACTACAATGGTTTGGAAGAGCTATAAATTACCCTTGACCTAGCTAATGTTTTCTCACTTTGCATTTTGTTCATGTATTTGAACATGAAAGTCCTAAAAGGACCAACTTGCACAAATTATGGCCTCAGAAAGCATGATGTAATAGTGCAGCTATTTACTGTTCATGGTTCACAGATGGTGGTGGTTCCCCAAAAGTTAACAGGGTTTTGGAGAAAGACTTTCTCTTCTCATTTCCAGCTGCTGCACCATGTTAATCCATACCTAAAAATGCAATACTTAAAAAACATCATTCTTATATAGTAGCTCAAAACGTAGTTCCCAGTGGGTTAATCCGAGAAGGGGGGGAAACAGAAAATGCTTTTAATGCATTTGTAGCTATCAAAACAGGCAGTCAAAAAGAGAGTCGTCGTGTCAAAACGAGTGCCGTAACATGACAAAGTGTGGAATGCTGTTCACGTAACAGTTCTGGGGCACTAAAGTGCCTTCTGTGACAGAGGGCAGTGTCTGCAAGTGCACTCAGAATAACAAGAGCTAGAAGTAAACTAGCATTTGGAGGGAAAAGAAATTTAAAAAAGAGGCAAAAAAACCCATTAGAGCAATAGTTTTCCCATCTCCCTTTTCTTCTTCTTCCACTCTTACGTTCTTATACTCTACATGTAGAGACAGATAGGAAGAACAAGAAAGGACGGGCCAACATCTGACATCCTGAATTCGACAGAAATTGTAAGAGAGGTTATACGATCTGGAAAAATAATTTGTATCCTCTGCACCCCAAAGGCTGTTGAAGGGAGGGGCAGAATCAGGTGAGCGAGCAGGCGGAGTGGCAGTCGGAGCACAAACGAACCCTTTTCACAGGATGTTCAGCCAAAAATCTTACCTCACTCCACCCTCTCTCACTCTGCAACTGGCTTTGGCTCTTTGTGGAACAGAAAAAGGTGTGCTCGTTCTGGCTTTGGCTCTTTGTGGAACAGAAAAAGGTGTGCTCGTTCCTGCGTTTCCCTTGCACTCTGCTAAAGGTACTGCTGGATACACACATACGCATACAAAAGTACGCGCCCACTGCTTTCACACCTGTAGATAGTTTTAAGCTGCTGTTGTTTTAAGACGCCCATAATGGCAGAGGACAACTACTTGTCTCTGAAGAACACAAGACTACAGTCAGAGTAAGACATGACTTCTACTCAGACTAAGAAACTAAGTATGGCAGGAACGATAGGTATGCTGAAGGATACTCTCAAATTCTGCCATTCTATCCTGAAAGAGCTGTTTACCCAAAGAATTCTTTGAAAAGCAACACAAAGCAGGCTATCTTGTTAAAAAAAAAAAAAAAAAAACCAACCAAAAAAAAAAAACCCCAAACCCACAACTTACGTGGCTTTTCCTTCCCTCAGGAAAATACAAGATAAAGAGAACTGTAGTGTGGCAGATACCACTTTTTTGGACAAAGGCTTGAATTTTAACTTGACATCTGTCTGCGTAGGCATGGGGCTCGCATATTGCTTCATGTTGATGCTGCTGGTGGCAAGCGCTTTTCTGCGTCCAGAAGGAGATTCCTGAAAGTAGATGAAAAACAAAACTAATGTAAAAGGTGCAGAGGGTTGCTACAATAAAACCCGCATGCTCATGAAACAAAAAACCACATTTATTAAATCTGCATCATTCTTTTTCTAAGTGCACACAGCCAGAATGGATTGCTATGATCCTTTCTAGAGACAAGAAGCCAGCTCTAAAACTAGGCGAGCCACTAACAACGGTCCTTTGAATATAGGTGTAGTCCAATGGAGAAAAAAGGTTTTAATTGTGATTTGTGGTCTTTCATATCAGACCCTTAGTCATTAAGGCTTGTATCATCTCGCAGTAGCATCCACTGCAGGTATCCATTTAAGCAAATAGGAATATATCTCAGTTAGAGTTAGTTCCTTTAGAGAACTGGACCAGGTTTTTAATCCAATCCACATAAGACATGGGTTTGTCCCATACAGTACATACATTTCTACACAAAACGACATCAAGTTACTATTTCGAGCCACTATCAGTGCTCAGGACTCAAATATAACACTTGAACATTTTTCAAAGTAAGGTTACTTCTCACTAGTGTTGTACGTGCACTACCAAGAGTCACTGCACTATCAAGAGTCACAGGTTTCTGAAATTAAGGTTGACAATGTTTCCAAAAATATCGATAAAAAATGTGCAAGGAAAAGAAAAATAAAAAGCAAGATAAGAGAAAGATAAAAGCCTAACTTGCATTTCAAGATAAAGGTGTTGCTCACAGTTTAGTAACTCAGACATAAGTTAATCTAAAATGCACCTAAGAATCTACTCGCTTCTGTCTAATATCAGCATAAGCAGCAAAGGAATGATTATACGTAATAAAGCTCTAGTAACAAAAATAAAACAAGAAAGCCCTGCTGTTAACTCTTTTGAAAGATGTTCTCACAATAAGACTACATTTTATTGCAGTTGAAAATCTATGTTGAATGAAGAATACTAATTCAATCAAAACATTCAAGCATCCTTTTTCAAAGTACTTGACGTTTCCGCCCACTAGAATAAGTCAGAATGTAATATGTCATCCCCAAAGAATACCTTGTTTAAAAAAATAGCCTTATCTGTCAGATTATGCACAGCAATATTATGCAGAACTATTAGTGCATGTAGACACCTTGTGAATGAATTTCAAAAATGCATCAAACACTTGAGAAGGATTTAGGCCCTCTCAGAAGAAATACTTAAGAATATGCAAATACTCTTAACGGAATC